TCTTCATCCCATCACCGTACCTGAGGTAAATGGAGAAGGGCACCAAGCAGCTCCAGCTCTACCTCTTCAAGCGTGCACACACAAACACTCAAGGGGGCGCACGCAGGAGCTGCCACAGCTTCTAGCGTTCTAGGGTATCAAGAGGGCCACAATGGCACCGGGAAGTGGCAAAAGCTGTTTCTGCTCGTTTGCTAAGTTTCTGCTCGAGGCAGATTATTTAGAGGCAACATCTTATTTAAGCTACGAAGTTCAGCTTTTGGTATCGAAGAGCCCTAGGGGCAGAAAGTAAAGGTACGTTGGATGTTCCAGGAGTATAGTAACAAGTGCATCGCTAGTAGTAACAGGTGCCTTACTAGTGGTAACAATGTTTGCTATTAGAATTAAGTTAAAAATAAGTAATATATAAGCTTCAATACATCTCTCCGTTTTGAGTTCGGAATTGTGGGCTCTGTGCTGACCGGGAATCCCCACCCTAGACCGGCCACAAGCGGTGATGGCAGCCGTCCTGATACTAGACACCATACAAACATGCGGACGTGCGGACGTGGAATGACGCGGAGACACACCATTTTTTGTGGTGCAGCCAATTTGCGCTGGTGATGGCACAAATTTGTCGTGAGCCAGCCCACAAGTGCAGGTTTTTGGCATTTTTGTATACTAATGCCCTTTGTGCCCTTTGAGTCAGTGTACAATTCGGACATGGCCCAAATCAAAGCACACTGTCGGACCGTCACTGAACTGTTGTTGTTTCAGGACCTCGAGGCACAGGGCAAGGGCCTAGACTGGGCCTAGACAGGGCCTCGGTGATCGAGCGATTTCACGCGCCAAATCGATGACCGCGTTCACCGAAACTGCTGGGTCTGGCGGTGCAACATGCCGACGAGTCGGGTCGCGAAGAAGAGCGAGCGCGGGCCAGGCCTAAGCGCAGCAGGGAGTGGTTTGGGTAGATATGCAACCCTGGGCCTCATCAACCGAATTTCTTGTGCAGCCATGACTCTAGCTCGGTGAGGGCACCGTGAATCATCCTTTCCTCATTGAGGTATCGAATTTCAGGTTGTTGCTGCCAGACGAACACTGGATTTGACTTGTAGTATCCTGTAGTCATGAAGCCTTGTTGGACGCGAACACCCTGCGGGAGGTTTGTACAAGTATACGCAGTGAAAAAGACTGGCTTGGAGGGCGGGCAAACAGAGTTCTACCCGCCCAACAGTTGCAAGTTGCAAAAGAAAGTACTGTAATCCATGTCCCAGTGGCCCAGGGCCGCCTAAGCGGTGGTTAATAGACATCCCTTGAACTTTTCCAGGGCTTTTATGAGGGACGGCCCTGGTGTTCTTGCGACTCCCACTCATCCGCTGACCATCCCCCCGCTTCGCTTTCCAGAGGACTTGAGCGACACCCCGAAGGAGTTGCAAGCCTTCTTCCGCGAGGCAACGGGATTCTCAGAAGAACGAGGTCATCGCTGCGGGGTGGGGCAGAAGGTGTTCCTCGGAGCTGCAAGCTACTAGGGTGGAGGCCATTGCTCTCAGGTTGGAGGCCGTCGCTCTTAGGCTGACATCTATTGGGTTCTTACTTCTCAATGACCGGGTGGCTGATCGGCGTTGTGGTCCACCAGCCTCGTGTCCTGAAGAAGTTCGGGGTGTGTGGACAAGTGGCATTCATCGTTTCCAAAAGGCTGATGCAAAACAAAGGACTGGATTCCATGGGTGTATATCAATATGGGATGCTATTGGGGTGGTTTCTTCGGCTGAGCGGCTAAGCTGGCCACCACACCTTCCCCCCTTCCAGTCAGACCACGTGGTGAGGCATGCAGCAGGCACTCCTCCCCATGGTGCCAAGGCCCCGGAGCTGACGAAGCGCGGCGCGAGCGGCTCGAGCTGCGAGTGGCTTTGTGTGCGGAGCAGCGAGAAGGCCGGGGTGCACTGGAGGCTCCAAAGGATCGGGTGACTGTCAAGTGACCCTATAGAACCATTCTGGGGTACCTAATTGTGGGATAGCGTATAAGGTCCTTCAACCTCTGTTGGTGTGGATCTTGATGTTTGACTGACTAGCATCTGAGGGACAGTTGGGATTGCCAGTTGGAGCCCATGGCAACAACTCCAGTTGGCACTGTCGGCATGTCGACCCTACATGTATATAGTATAGGAATGTCACACGATTGGGGACTTTGACTCTCATTCCCGTTCGATCTGGGAGTATGACAAAACCCAAGCCTTTCCCAAGGTGGATCCCAGTTACAGCGATCTATGGAATGGAGTCTTTGGAACCACTGGCTACAGGCAAAAACATAACAATCAGTTAGTTAAGTTATAGAACAAACTTATATTCATTGTGCATCCATATTCTGAATGGTGAGCAAACCACTTTGTGCAAACATTGCTCCTATAGGTGGTGTGCTCCGATCAAGGAGACTACGGCGAATGGCTGTTGAGGTGCACGTTGGGATGTTTCGGCAGAACCGCGGAACACGCATCGTGCCATGCACGATGCGTCGACCCCACATTCCACACGATCTCCCGACCCTTTCCATGAGAACAGGTGAAGAAGTTGAGAACTTCAATCGCTTGCCCAAACACTTCGTGTCTGACAAAAACCAAAAAAAAACATGCATTTATATGCCTGCATGATCCTATGTGAACCATCCACAATGGGCAGCTGCCATCCCCCGCCCGCCTGCGCCTGCAGGCGTTGGAGCTCCGCGTGCGGCTGCTTCCAGACGACCTGGTGGGGATCCTTCCGTCGTGGTCGATGCGGCGATGTGATGGTGTGTTTCAGGTCAAGTGAATGCCTTGGTGTGGCTGTCGAAGCTGAAACATGACCTACACCAGCAGTCACATGGGCCAGGGTGGTGTGGCGAAAGTCCCATCGTGGATGAATGTGACGACAAGGGCACCCCAAGGGTTGGGCACTCTTCATGGATCGCACCCTGTCCTCCATGTGACTGCTGGTAGCTTCTGCATCACTCAGGGCAGGCTCCCGACATCGGGCTCTCGTCGCCGATGTCTGAAGCGCGTTTGGCTGCACGGAGTTCGTGCAGCGACGCCCAGTGTTCCCCGGACCAAGTTGAGACCAGTTTCATGTCTCCCTTGGGATTGGAACGATTGACACATGTTGTATAATTAGAAATATATGTCGCCTTTTCAGGTTTTTTTCTTGGTGAGTGATGTGAGTTTTTGGCCGGCACTTGGTACGTACAACATCAGCACACTCTCAAGTTCTCAAGTTTCGCCCAAACTTGCAATCCTGCACATGGCACGCATTTCTGCATGACATTGTATGATGTGCTGTAATTGTCGCTATAGAAAAAGCCATGAAAACAGCCTGGGTCATCCATCTTCACTCATCTTCAATCCCCAGTGGTGGCGCCACCGTTTCGCCACCGTTTCACCCATTTCGTCCGCACCGAACCTCGGTCGCCGCGGAGGTCGGTGGCACGGACGAGTTCCGCGCGGAGGAGCTGCCCGAGGAGTTGACGCAGAAGGACGAGGCGTCAACGCCGCGCGGAGCGTGAGAAACCGGGCCCCAAGGCCTGGTGATGGTGGATGGGGATGTTGGTGGTCCCCATCTAGTCCTTCACCATACCGTATACCATACCATCTACCAGCACCCGACGAAGACATGAAAGACATGAAGGCTTTTGCTGACTTAAAAGTCGCAGGTTGTGGTGACCTGTAGAGTCGGGTGCTGCTAGATGTTAGATATGGTCCGGATATGATGCTGGTATCATGATGCGTGTTGTATCGTGGCATCAGCGCCCTTGGCGGAAGAGGGTGGAGTTGAAATTAATAGTGACCATCATAGGTGGTAAAGCATGGTAAAGGTACAATGACATGCGCGCTCCGAAGATGCAGAAAGAGGAATCGGCGCTTCGAATTCTTAGCGTTTACGCCGGGACGAGGATCCCTGGCGTGGGAAGACGTAGATGCGCAAACATCCAGCTGTGGATGAGGAATGACTTGCACAGGACAATTATGTCAATGGAATTAGGCACGGCTCAAAGCATCATCATCACCCATGCTGGAACTATGTCGAAGCCCTGTAGCTTGAGCCACTTCTTCTATCCCAGACACTTCATGGAACCGCTAGAGCTTTGAAATACCTGCTTGCTTGTTGCGGGGCACAAGATCAGGCACTCAAGATTTAAGGCATTGAGATTGCAAGCAGGCCCCACACCTCCTTGTGCATATGTATAGATATATTTGCTTGACATCCCGCACGCACCCTGCAAATAAATGGGGAACCGGAAAACTGTCTTCAAGTCGATAATTCAAGAACCTTCTCTGAACTGTGTCAGTGGATGCTGTGTATGCCGGAATTTGTTTTGCAAGAGCAATGAGCTGTTTCTGGTGGGTATGGGGAACTCGTTTTTGGGTTGACAATCGATTCCCTCACCAGCTTTTTGTCGAACTGAGGGTTAAAAAACACAACCTCTTCAGGGCTGATGAAATTCAACCTGCAATGCAAGACCGTTTGGTGTGTTTTGATCTGTGCAACATTGATGGGTGTCAGTCCTTGGCAGCCTCATTGACTGCATTGACTGCATGTGTGCCCAAGCGAACTCTAATGCAGTCAATGGGCACACATGTGTTCTAGATGGTCTGTCAATAAGCACTCTCAATGGAAGTCAAGTGAGCTCTAATGCATGTGTGGTTTCGTTCCTTAAGAGATATTAAATATAGCTCCCCTTTACAGCAGAGATGTTCGAGCAGGATCGAGCAGGCACTTTGGTGACCCTTGGAGTACCCAGCAGACGTTGACGACTAGTTGCTATATGAGGGCTGCATGACGCATGAACCACGTGCGATGATGTTCGAGTGCTCAATGCAGCGCAACTCACCGCGTTTGATTGCAGCTGCTGGGCTCGATTCTGAGTCACAAGGGGTCGAATTGGTCGACAAAGGTGAAGTGAAGCAGATCCCATCTCATGCAATCCCCATTGAATCATAAGCTAGGTGAATATTTTTCGGATGACTCAGGTCCCAAGAAACTGCTCAAGTTGGGCAGCAACTACGACGCACCGGTGGAGCAGCGGACGTACTGCCATGGAACATCCGCGGGGTGACATGGGGCCCCTGACGTCACACGCTGGTTCTGTTTAGAGGCAGGCATCTGTGCGTTGTGCGGAGGCTGTGACAATACTAATACATCATTGCACTGCCACAACTTGAAGCATAGCTCACAGATGTTCACGAGTGGGTTTCCCCCCCAAACACCTGGATGTTAGGACCTCTGACCTATCGAAGGGACAGCAGACGTTTGCAAACCGTGGCCGGAACGAAGCACGAAGCACAAAGCACCAACACGATCGGGTCACCAACACGTCAACGATTCAACGATCACATCACACACACAAACTTGCGGACTTGTCCATGTCACGCCCCTAACAGCCCTTCCACTTTGTGGGGTACTCTAGGGTGAGTATCACATCACACAAAGCTGCACCACGCCGCCGGTGATTTCCCGGCGCGTTCCGAACGTGCGCGATCGAATTGGCCATCCGAACGTGCTGCCGGCTGCATGGCGGTCACGGATGGTCCTGAGGGGGGACTGTGGCGAAAGGAGGGGCTGCCTTACATGACTTAAAGTATGCTTGACTAAGAGATTCAACAAAAAGCTCCGTGGAGTATTTTCGTTTCAGGGATGGAAGAGGGAAACTCAGCGATTTGGTTTCGTTTCAGGGATGGAAGAGGGGTCTCGGCAAGCCGTCAACTACAAGCAGATGTGGGTGCATGATCCGAAACTGGAGCGGGAAGTAGATGTTCCAGGTTGCTGAGTCGAGTCGAGACGAATTCAGGGTTCCTTGAATGTGGTTGTTTGGGCTTGTTTTTGGCCAAGAATGTTTGCTTTAGATTTGAGAAGCCTGAGGGGATAACATTTGTCTTGGGGTTTGTTGGTTGGTTCCATCCAACCATCAGACAAAGAAAGCGTGAAGATATGTGAAGATGATCATGTTGGACCTGATTTGTCTAGAAAGGTGACGCTCTTGGGGCGTCTCATCCTTAGATATTGCGACAAAGAAGAATCCTTTATACAACATGCTGCACGAACCGCAGTTGCCACGGCGGCTGAACCCAGACGCCACGGTCTGATGGCCAATGCCACTCAATGCCGCTGCCAAGGCCAATGCCGCAGGCAGTGACGCTGGATGTCCCTGCAGAGTTGATCAAGGACAGTGGTTGGGGACGACCTCCTGCGACTGCCCGACGGTGGTTGGGGATGAAACACAAAACTATATATATATATGGGTGTCTATGAATAGCCCCTTACAAACTGAGGGGTGTCCATCACCCACCCCTTGTGGCTCCTGCCTGGTATGTACGATATATAATATATATAATATGTGATCCAGGGTCCTTTAGGTACTATTTCGTTACTCTATATATCAGTCAGACAACTATATTTAAAAAATAAAGAAACTCGAATTAAACAAGTAAATAATTGTTTAATTGGAAAGAACACAATTTAAAGCAATCAGTGACGAAATGACCAATCAATTCTTCGCGCCATTGCTGCTGATTTGTCGAAGCATGATGACACCGACAGCTCTCAGATGCTTGCTCCAGGTCAGCCTTGTTTCAGCAGACGCCAGGCCAGCTGGAAGGGGATGAGCGTGAAGACTTTGAGGCTGATGAGGAAGATGCTGCTGTTGCACCAAGGCCAGTCCAGCGGCCAGGCAGAGAGAAGACCTGGACACAGCACCTGGCAGAGATGGTCTGGAAAGTGTGTCAGTCGTTGCGAGGTGATATGATGCACGACAAGCTCATCGCATTGTTGGTGGAATGGTGCGAAGCCCCTGCGTCTGCCACCAAGTGTGTGGCATATGAAAACACGTGTGTCGTTTACGACACAACTTCTGATGTCCCTGTCATTCACGCGCCGAAATCTGCTCAGAACAACTGCTACGTCTACATTCCACATGCACTTGTTGACCACACCTGGTGAGCTTAGAGCGATTCTATTCCCAAACGTTTTGGGCAAGCCACGATGTTTTCCTCTGCAACCAGGCAGCGCTGGCGCTGGCCAAAAGAGGTGTGAATGTTGATCGTTGCTTTATTGGAGAATCCCCTGGCAGAGTCGGTCAAAGCCTTTACTCAATCCACTTGGACACGATGCTGGCTCAAAATCACGGCTTTTTTGACCCCAAAGTCTGGTACAACGAAGATGAGCTCCGGAAGCAGGTCGAGTCCTATGCTCACTGCATCGTCATCACTGGACAAGAGGCCCCAGACTCACACAAGAAGTTGTACTTGGACTTGCATCGCCGGAAGAAAGCCATACTTGTACGGGCCATACGGGTATACAACCCGAATGTTATTCTATTGTGGGCTGGAAGAGGCTAGAGGTCAATCGAATGATGGTGTTTCCCCGAAACCACATCAAAACCCTCGAGCGGTGACATCCTTCAGATCTTCGATGCCGACAGGATCCAAGGTCTTGGACCGTGGAAGACATCAGCATTTGGCTGCAATGGCTGGGAATAGGCCATGGATATGCGCCGTGGGGGTTCCTGCCTGACTGTGGTTCTTTTGGAAACAATGTTTTTAGTTTTCGAGCGCGAACCTTGTTGTATTCAGTTTTGGAACCTGAATCGTTTCTTTCTTTTCTTTGAGTGGACGGTGATGCTCTCAGAGAGACTCATAGCTTAAAGTGCCACAGGCCAACACTCTCAATGTCCGATGTTGCCATGTCGATAACCATTTCACGGCTCATGACCATCCACGGCTCATGAGCCCGCGAATCTTTAATATAAAATGTGTCCAACAATCCATGTATGGAAAACATGTTGAAACATGTTGAAACAACCTATACAAACCCTGAAAACATGTTAAAACCACCCCAATCTATAAGTAGATGTCATCCCTGGATTCTTTGTTTGGGTATAAGCCGTCGTGTATCTACTCCGGCCTGAAGCGAGGCGAGGCGCACAGCGCAATCCCGGCCGAACCCTCGAACGCCGGCTGCGACGGCGACGCGCGAGGGGAGCACGTGGAGTCCTTTGCCGCGCGGGGCGTCGATGGTGAGCTGCTGCTGCAACTCAGCGCGGACGCCAATTGGGTCGCTCGGCCCTGCTACACAGCCCCGCGGGGTGCCACAATTGACTACCCTGGTGGGATGGATAGGTTGACGGTTCAAATCACCTCGAAGTTCGAGATCTACGGAATATAAAGGCTGATGGCATCTATCACGGCAGGGTGGATGGGATGTTCAGGTCTTCCAACATGGCTGTGGGTCAAAAACCCGGAGCTGGTTTCACCCTGGTAGGTCTGGTATAGGTTGACCAATGTTGACCATGTTTGGTAGTCGACTTCTATTCATGTTCGGAAAAGCCAGGTTTCCCATGTGCCATGGCCCCCAGCAAAATTTTCCTTGATTCAGTTCGTTGTGCGCCACAGGCGGAGCTGGGCGTTCACGACGTGGCACAACAGCGGGTGCTGGACAGTGCAGTGGAGCCCTTGAGGTTGGGCCGACCACGCACACGATGCGAACAGGAGGTGTTTTTTTTCTCACATGTTTTTGTACAGCTGGAAGGCGAAGCTTTAACTTTAATCGAGCATTGAGGAGACTGTGGTTGGCTTAGAATCTTGGCATGGCAATTTTCATGTTCTACAGCTTGTTTCTGGGGGGTCTTCTTTCATGGAAGTCGCACCTTTGTTCGGCACTGTGTCAACACCGTGACACATCATGAAACGCATCAAGTCCGACCACCGTCCGACCTGGCTACTGGTTGCAGAATCGCCAATCTCCAGGTGTTTCCACCATGGTGCCCTGGATGCCACCCTGGCATTGCACGCCATTGAGGGTCCCGTGGCCGGGCAGATCTTCTTCGTCGGTGCTGGAGTACCACGGCGGCGTTTGGAACCTGGTGTGGCAGAGCAGCGCAGATCGAAAGGTCAGGATGGACATCCAACAGAGGTTGAAGAACCGAAAAGACTATCCCTATAGGTACCCCGGTAGGGTCCTAAAAGGATCTATAATTCGGACCACTCTTGACTCACAGGAGTGGTCGAAAGAATGGATGCTGCTGGCTGGAGATTGCCATAATGTAATAATGTGGTTGAACGGTTTTTGCCACCAGTTAATCCTTCGGAGTAGGACAGCCGATCCCATGCGAAGATCTTGCAAACTCCAAAAGCCATCCGTAAAGGGCATTGAAAGACATCCAACGCGATGTGTGTTCATGAAGACTTGCAAAAAAAAACACATGCCCAGATGCTGGCCTTTTCGTATCGTGGCCCCAGGTCACAGGTGGCCGGCACAACGCGTCCAATAACATCGTTCTCTCAGAGAACTATGTGTGTCCCAGCTGAAGCTGCTTCACAGCTGATCCCGGCACACGCCCGGCCTGTGGGTTTAGTAATTATGGTTTCGTTGGGCGACCTTGAATCACCCGCCTGCCACAGTTTACTGCAGTCTAGATATACAGTTATATATACATATATATATATACAATTAACTATAGTATATATACATATATATATATATATAGAACAACAAGGATATATATAGTAACAATATTGATACATACCTCTTGAATGAAGTGACCCTGCCCATCCCAGATTAGATTAAGACACCACACGCTCCACTTGTTTTCCGTTCGCTGGGCCTGGTCTTGGGACACGGCCCCATTTTGTGCAAGTATACTGTATGCTCTTTAGATCTCATTGGTCTAGTGCTTAGTGGTGAGTGTCCCACTTGGATGGTTTTCTTCCTTGATTCCTTGCTTGATCTACCCCTCGAAGCCACGAACTAGCTATATACTGTACCAGCACCACCCAATGGGTGGTTTCTAGACCCCCTGAAGATCTATGTTCCATCCCAAAACCACCCTTTTGGGTGGTGCTGGTATAGACTTACAGATCTTTCACCGTGGTTTTTTCGAGGTCCCACCCAGCCACCCACCCAAATCGGAGGTCGCGACGACACTTCCAGATCCTACGAGATCGTGTGGGGCAGCAGCTTGATTCCAAAGATTCGCAGACCAGGGAGTTATCTTTCACCACGGACGGGGACGGGTGGGTTTAGAGGGGGGGGAAGTTGTTCCGGAAGTGGGGCTGGTAGCGTAGAAAGGGCATCGTCCACATAAAAGAAATACAGAATTCATAGAAGTCCAGCACCCTCCAACGTGTGATCCTTGGTGCATGTTTTACTGTTGAATTGTTTGGATAACCTCCCAGACACGACCCGTTTGGGACTGCCAGGACGGACTGCCGATCAGTTGGGGCGGTTGAAAGGGAGGCCAATGGATTGGCAGTCCGATGGCAGTCCCAAACGGGTCGTGTTTGGGTATTGTAGATAATGATCATACCAGCAGTCACAAAAGGGTGCTTAATGGAGGTTAGGGGTGCCCATGATCCACTCACCTGGGGACTCAACACCACCCCGAGCTCTGTGACTCCTGGTGTTTATTGTGAGCATCGTCTTGCAAAAGCCACGGTTGTCAAGGCTTCAGGTCAAGGCCTTATGCCTCATGGAGCTCCATCCGCACCCGAAGCCACCGTTGCGAAGCATCCTCCGATCGATCGATTCCAGCCCGGCGACCCGACGGGTGAGGTATTTGCTCCAAGACGTTGGGAGCACCACAGGGACGTTTCTGATGATCCGAGAGGAGCTGCCTTTGGAAGATCAAATGATCATCCAGATTCTTGGCCAACTTGGAAGTCCAACTCCAGGAAACCTTTGCAAAAGAGTGATGAACACCATTAGTCCATGAATTAGAGAGATGCACACCATTTCCGGAGAAGTCATACGTATGCATCTGTTCGCCAGATGTGTGTTGGGTCTTTCACCTTCAGCCCGTCCGAACTCCGCCCGTCCGCCTGTCCTGAGCCGGAGCCGTACACGAGTAAGGCTGGGCACCACGGAGATCACCGCCCACATCGATGGCACTCGATGCACTCTGCTGGTCACCGAGGGTCCAGATAAGGCGAGGCCATCCCGGGCGAGGTGGGTGCCAGGCCAGCTGGGCGGGGTGCGGTCTTTGGGATGTGCGGAGTAGATATTCTTTGTACATGATGTGGTCATGTGCGTGATATGATCAACCATCTCAAGATCTATTAACTAATTACCTCTCCCAGCACCCGACTCTACAGGTCTCCTCTGGAGGCTTTTGCTGGCTTAAAAAGTCGCAAGTGGTGACCTGTTGGAGGGTGCTGGTATATGTATATAATATATATATATATATATGTGTGGATAGCATGGCAGAGCGGTCATTTTTGCTGCAGAACACAGGGTCCTCTTGCCCAGCTTGATGTGGAACGCGAACGGTACACTTCTCGATTGAGACGTGTTTTGGTCAAAGGAGTCCGATGCCTGATTCACATCGCTCCTAAATTTTGTTGACCAAAAACGTCCATTTTTGGAGCTCTTTGGCCCCAAATTCAAATAGGGTCCAACACGCGTTTCTCATTGTTTTTCTTAAGAAGGTAGAGGGGCCCTTTTTAGTAAGAGAGTCCGAAATCATGATTTCGCCTGGAACCCACCGGACCTGTCCTTTTGTAGCCATCATGTCGTTCTTCAAGATCGTCAGGTCGATGGCAGTTCTTTTGTCCTCGATGTGGGCCGCCACATTCTTTGACTTGCTCAGGTTGTCGAACAAGGATCTGGAGTCAGTTACGGTGATGAAAGGTGTTTTGCTGATCTGTTCTTGCCAGTTCAGCAGGTCCATTCGAAGTCCTTTGATTTCAGACCAAAGGAACCGCATCCAATAGGATGCTCCAACTCCTTGAACCATAGCTTGGGCTTCAGCAGCTAGAGTGTTTACCGTACATCTCTTCAACTTGTAGCTCTTCCAACTCAATATTGAGATTGGTTGGGGTGATTGTTCAACTTCAAGTGCCTTGTCGTAGGCATAGATGATGTGCCCGCCTTGGCTGTGAGTGCGGCCAACCTGAAGAAACTTTTCGTGAATCTCGATCTTGTTTTTCTTTCCCCTCTTTTTCATGAAAACGGTGTGCCCTTTCCATTCGGCTTCTCCATGTTTTCGGAAATCCTGTCGTCTGTTCCATGTGTCTTCAAAGAGTTCACCATCTACCCAGGTTGCTCTTTCGGCCTCTAGGTCATGGAGTTGGGGTCCATTGGGATCAGCTCCAGGATGAAATAGTAAGTGTCGGGGTTGAACATGATGACGAATCCAAAGATCACCTCGTTCTTCCCAAAAATCTCTGCTCTTCTCTTCCAACTCCTTGCAAGGTGTATTTCCCCAGCTGGCATCTGATGCGGATCCAATTTGAAGGTCCTTGGCCGGGATCGGCGCGATGATGATGCCCGCATCAACTTCTTGGATCGCTTCTTGTGCTAAGGCGTTTGCCTCGATCATGTCTCTGACATACGGTTTGGGCATGCATTGTTGAAGTATGCATACTCGTCCCATCAAGTCTGGCCTGGTTTCCTTGGCCAGCCATGCTAGTGAACCCAATAGAGCTCGAAGAGCGGAGACTTCTTGGTCGGTGCAAAGGTTGTATTTCTGGGTTTTCCGCTCCTTGGTGATGTCCATCGTCTTGATCTTTTCCTTGACGTACATGTTCTGATGGACCTTGATATATCCGTCGGGGAGGCACTTGATCTCCTTACCAACAAATCTTCCATCTCCTTTGGCGAATTTTCCCAACTTGTAGTGTTGTTGGATCCATTTCATCTTCTCCCAATGCTCTTCTCCTCCTCCATGGAGTAGATCATCTGTTGCCACTCCAATGATTCCCATGAGCTTTCTTTCTTGATTTCCATCTCGAGCTGGATATTCCGATTCCTCGAATAAGAAGAAGAGGCATGGATCTGCTTGAGATTGTTCATATCCCAAGTTCACTAGAGTTCGTTGAAGATGTTTGTACCATTGATAGGGCCCATCTAACAGTCCGTAGCAGTGTTTTTTTTTAGTCGTGGTAATTGGCGACTTTGTACTCCCGGTAGTCCTTCTGGAGGAAGTTCGGCATAAAGCAACCTGGATATCTCATCTCCGCTGTGAAAAGCCTGGGTGAAGTCCAAGTATCCAGGTTCCCATTTTCGGGAGCAGATCGCCTGTAGGACCAGTAGGACTGTTTCTGGTGCCACTTGTGGAGTTGCTGCGTCAAGCCATTCTGAGTCAGGTTCACTGAAGCCTTTCATCACGTGTCGAGCTTTTGCTTTGAAACCACCGTGTTCATCTTCTCGAAGTAGCAGCTCCTCGTTTTGAATGGCTTCGACTTCATCTGGTTCAATTCTCTTTTCAACCAGGACGTATCTGGATTGTAGGATGTTGTGTCCTGCTCGACGAATCTCTTCTGATTCCTCTGGTGAGATGATCTCATATGCTCCCGTGGAGATGTTGTTGTTGACTTCCTTGTGAATCGCCTTGAGAAATTTCTCTCGTGCTGCGCATAGGAGGTCCTTCAACTTTATCTCATGGGAACCTTTTTGTTTTCGAATTTCAGGTACCAAGGTCTGATACATGACCTCCACCCAGTCGATGCGTTGTCTTTTGTTGTTTCCTGACTCTTCAGCTTCATCTGACTCTTCTTCCATTCTTCGCACTTGTCCTCTATTTCTTTCGTTTTCATCTTCATGTCTTGCTTTCTTCTCTTGCCTTTGTTCATGATCATCTTCTCCTTGTCTCTTGTTGATCTTTGACTCTGGTTCTTCTTCCAGTTCTCGGTCTCTATGTCGTTGATCTTCCGTTGGAGTAGTATCCATCCCGCCTGGGGTGGGTTGTTCCTTCATTGGCGGCTCAACGTCCCATGGAAATGGGATTGAGTCCAAATAGAACTCTGTTCTTCCTTTCCAAGCTTTCTCTTGCACTTGTTCCTCACTTCTCCAGTCATCAACGATCTCCTTGCTCTGGCCATCCTCGAAGTACATGGTTGTTCTTCGAACATTGTTCAGTTTGTTGTAGTCCACGGGGCAGTCCTCTACGTCCGTGGGCTTAAAGAGCGCCTTTCGGAGGTTCACGTGGAATCTCAGAAGAATGCCCTTCTGTTCGTTCCACATCCATTCATCCTCCTCAGGTCTGGCTTCCACTTCCTTGATGGGTGTTTTCCCTTCGATCTTGTATCGAGGTTTCTTCATTCCTTCGTCCTCAAATGGCATTTCATTTTCTAGTTCTTGATCTAGTTCTTCACTCTTGTACTCCTTAGTGAGGTCGATGTAGCCTGCCTTTGGTTCTTCCGACATGATGTGTCTCAGATTTGAAAGACCTTCCATCCATGAAGAGAGCGAGTGATGTTCGTCTTCACTTGCATGTCGAAGTTGTTCGGGTGCAGCTTTGACGATATGTCGACGGAAGTTGATCCATATCGCTCCGGGTGGCGATGTGAGTACCACTTTTGCTGGTCCTCTCCAGTAGCTGGTGCTGTCTTTGCTGGCCTTATCCCCGGGAGCTCGTCTCCAAAAGTATACTGTCTGTCCAACCTCATATTCCGGAACATCTCTACGTCCGGCATGGAGGGAGTTTGTCAAAGCTTGCTGGCACTCCACTTCGTGAAATGCTTTTGCTGCGGCCAGTCTCATTGTTTGGGATCTCTGCAATTGAAGATCTCCTCTCGTGGCCCAGTTTCTTTCCTTCTGCTCTTCATTGGTGAGGAATTGTAGACCACCTGGCATCTTTGGTGTGTAGCCCAACAGTCTCTGTGCTGGTGAAAAACCCGATCGATTCGACAGACGGTTGACCGTCATGTTGACAATGTCGATGAGATCTCGCCATTCCGACTCTGTTTGTGTGGCATAGGTCTCCATTGTTTTGATCAAGATCTCCTTGAAGGTCTTACCGGCTCTTTCCGTGATGGATCGCTGTGTTGGCATTTCTAGTGCACTAGGTTCCACGATGGTGTCGTCAAGTTCAGCTCCGTCTTGAAAGGCTGAACAGAACTCCTTTCCGAGATCTGTAAAGAGGCGTTGAGGTACCCCCATAAAGCGGACCCACTCCAAATAGGCTCTTCTAGTGTCCGGTGCGGTGTGGCTTCGCAATGGGATCACCATTTGGAATCGAGTTGACCAGCAAACAATGTTCAGTGCCATTCTTCTCTTTTTGCCGGGTGTTGGTAACCAAATGGTATCCACTCCAATCGTGTGGTTTGGAGGTAACTCTTTTGGGGGTGCGGCAGCTCTAGGTGGTCGCACTAGTTGATGTTGTTGGCACGTTGCACATACCAAATTTTTTGCATAGTCGATCGCTTTCTTGGAGGCGTTGGTGTTCTTCAAGATCCTTGCCAATCGATCATTTCCTGGATGTCCGAGACCTTCATGAGCTCTCCTGACCAGTTGCTCTGTGGTGAATGGTCGCTCTCGAGGTAGATATGTTTTCTCTCTTTGTGATTCATTCTCTTCTTGCTTTTCTTCTCCTTCTTCTGGTAGGGCGTGCACTTCATGTTCCATGACGTGGGTGAACCATGCCCATTTCCTCTGCCAATTGATTTCCCGATCTTCTAGCTCTCGGCAATCATGGGTTCCCAGCCATCGGATCTCTAGATTGTCTGCCTTCTCGTCTTCCTTGATGGACCGGGCATATCCTCTTAGAATGGCTTGGACCAAGCCTTCTGGATATCTTTGAGCTTGTCGCGCACGGCTCTCACCATGGCATTGTCCAAGGACAGGTACATGTTGATGTGCTCCATCACAACGTTTCTTCAATTGATCGGCAATCTCCTGCCGATTGGTGACCCAGCCGGTTCTCTTCTGCATGGGTTCTCCATTTGCATCATGTAGTCCATATTGGCATTGATCACAGGTGCTCAAAATACTGTCTTCATGTTGTAGGATCTTCTGTAGGGCTCGTTCTGTCCATGCTCTTGAGGTAAGTGGCTGTTCTAGTAGGAAGGCGCCTCCGTACTCCATGATTTGTGTGATGATTTCACATGCAAAGTTCAGAAGAATTCGGGCTTCCCTCAATCGACGACGGAAGTCCTTCTTCATCACGTTCATGTTCTGCATGATGCTGAACAAAGTGCAGGGCGGTGATATCACGGTCAAACCTGGTTTGAGTTCTTGAATGAACCTCTTTACCCTATCTCTTTCTCGTGGATCAAGAAGTTCATCTCCAAGTTCTAGGTCAAATGCTGCCGATGCAATGAGTCCTGATCGGTGGCATTGCGGAGCGAAGCGCTTCGGGTTGAAAATCTCGACAACTGTCTTTGGGGATCCCTTAATCATCCTAGCATAGTGTTGGTGGACCCGCGTGTTGGACTTGATGCGCTCTAAGTTTTTCTCTACAGCACAAAGTGGTTCATCCTCTCTCAGAAGCGTCATAATCTCCATGATGTAGTTCTCTGCCATCTTCAATGAGGCTTCCATCGCTTTCCGATTCTTTTCCCCAAGTTCTCGCCAAGGTCCCAGGCTCATCATTTCTTGTTTCCTCCAGTTCGTTGTTTTTCTTTCTCCTTCTTCCACTTCTGGTACTCGAGGAACTCCGCGAACTCGGTCTGGTCCTTCTGCTGATCTTCTCCTGGTTCCATCGATGGGGATTCGATCTCCTTCTTGATGGATGTTACCTCTGATTCCGATTTCCTCTCCGATTTCAGAGTCTTGCCGCACTGAAGACACTTCTCCACCGTGACAAAGGCATTGGTTCCTCGCTTGGATGTACGAGTATGCTTGCATTTCTCCATGTCGATCTCCTCCAACTCCTCTGGCTCCTTCTTGTTCGTCTTCTTCTGGATTTCCTGTGGAAATGCCTTCGGTAGTGGAGCCTTTGTCATCAGTTCGGGTGGCGTGCTTGGCGTCACAGATGTTGCTCGATAGCTGGAGGGACTCTTCTCTTCGGAGGCTGTTGGTGGTGTTTGGCTGACCGGGGAAATCGATCTGTCGGCTTCTGAGATCGTCCTGCTCTGTCCCGGGCGGAGTGCTCTCGGCCAAAGACTGAAGGCCTTGTTCCACCCATGAGGCTTGATCTGCTCCCACCCTTGATCCTCCATGTCGGTCACCTCGACATCGGTGTCGTCCATCGTTCCCATGTAGATTCTCTCCCCCATCAGCGACAAGGCCAATTCGGTCAGGCGGAGAATCACAAAAAGCATGCGAGCCACTAGTCTTGCCCAAATGCTGTCGTACTTGTTTTCCTCGATGCGGCTGCGCTTCATGGCAGTCGTCCGTCGGGATCACTGAGCTGGATTCCGTGCTTGGGCTTTTGGGTTCACAGCCTGAACCATGGGGGGCATCATTTCCGATTTTCAGCACCTCGAACTCGGCTGAATCGTTCCGCAACTGTTCATGTAGTTGGTGTAACCGGTCAGTTTGATCCTTCGTGAATTGGTTGAGGGGGACTCGTAGTGCTCCTGTTGGACCGAGGTGGCAATCAACCCCAAACCCAAACCGTCGAAGGAACAATCGTAGTCCTTTTTGAGGATCGAGATAAAGAACCGACCGACAATGAAGTAGGAAGGGCAGTGAAATAAGAAACGGTGCCTTCTTGGATTCCCCTTCTTGAAAGATTGCTGGCCTCAAAACGCTACCTTTTGTGCCCAGACTCGTCGGGATGGATGCCAAATGTGACGTGGATGTAGTTCCATTCACCGACCGAAACCGATGTTCTTGAGGTATTCGTCCAACTCCCAGATTTTGTGGTAGTTGTCGGGCGAGACGGTAGAGCGTTTCTTCTCCGACGGCCATGCGTTGACATCCAGTGTCAATGGTTGCACATCCATCATCGTGGTTAGTTCCTTCATGGTTTGATGTTGAACTTGTCCGACGACGATGCGACAAGGTCCTGCGGTGGTCACTTGGCTTATCATGATTCTCGGTTGCTCTCCCCCGCAAATCAGAATCACCCCTAACAAACAAAACCTCATGACTAACTTCCCCGATATCCCCCCCAATAGCAGCGCATTGGACCTTATATCGGGATTGAGACATGTTCATGTCTCCAGCTACATCGTGGGAGCTGGTCACCACTTCAAAAAGATCGTCTTGCGATCCACCCTCGGGCTCAGCTGGGCTTGAACTCGTTGAAGGTTTGGCCACCGACGGAGGCATCAACGATGTTGTCACCGCATCCTTCTCAACGTCGGAAGATTCTGGCCATCCCTCAGGTCCATCATAGTTCTCCACCAAGTGACGGTATTGTTCACCATAGATTTCTCTCTCCTCTCTTTCATCGGGACCCGTGAGGAGGAACAGCTTTTCGTCGTTGAAGTCCTTCATGTCTGTCTCCTCGGCTTCAGGGAGCACTTCAAGATGTCCGCAGAAATAGGCCTCTGCGGTTGGATCCTTCGGCATCGCCTCCATGTAGTAGGTCTCCTTGACGTTGTTCTTTCCTCGACCCTTGCCTTCTGGACATTCTCGATGCCAATGACCGATTTTCTTGCAGATTGCGCATCTACTGTTCTGTTTCAAGTGGTCGATCATCTTTCCTTTTCCTCCTTTTCCCTTGTCTTTTCCTGAGCCTTTCCAGCCGCCGAAGCCTCTGGCGAGTTCTTTGGCTTTCTTCAGCTTCAGGCTTTGACTGAATGTGCGTTTCTGGTACATGGTGTTCAAGATCTCCTTGACCTCATGTTCATCTAGTACCTCTTCTTCTGCGTCATTTCCATCCTCTCCCGGGTCACCGTCCTCCTCGTCATTCAACTCTTCCAGGACGGCCTCGAGAATCTCGTCCTCGTCGTGGTAGTCCAGGTTCTCCTCCGCATTGAGGTGGTGCACCGAGGTAGTCGAAGAACTCCCGGCGGTAGCTTTGCTCTTGTTTTTCATGACCTCAATACCGACCTCCTTCGCCATCAGCTTCGTCTCGTGTTTTCGAAGCCATTCTTTCACATCCTTGGTTGCGATGCTGCCTCTTGTGAAATTCATATTCTTGATGTCCTGGTCACCTAGATTCAAGGCGTTGATGAGCAAGAAGCCTTTGTAAGCATCTGGGAGGACCACTTGGTGAGTGGCCACCCGTCTCATGGCCTCTTCCCACCTGTTGAAGAACACTCGATGACCTTCAGTTCGGTCTCGTCGGATGTGGTAGGTCACCTTGGCCAACGAACTCAACAGATCCTCCTCCTTGTCTTCCCCGAAGTTCTCTGGCTGATCCATTGCGGCTAGCAGGCGATGCCCTCCTTGTTCATCTCGAAGCCATTCCATGTCCTTTGCCCAATGTTTGAACGTGTGGAAGGCCACTCCTGAAAGACCTTGGAGAATCAGAGGACCCTGAGAGGTCTTTCTTACTTTTGTTGTCGCCAGCCATAATCTGGCTTTGATCAACCAGTCCTGGAATGGCGTGGAGTCGCCATCCCATTCAGGCGGTTTCGCCGACGAGCCACCGCCTTTCCACTCATCATCTTCCTCACCACGTCCTCGTCCGCGGTCTCGTTCTCGAGCACGGCGTCGACGTTCTTGCACGAACTCTCGAAACTCATCACTGTCAAACTCGTCAGACATCCCGGCTCCTGCCGGGGAAAACTCCTGGCCTCGCACCCGAGACCTTGCTGATCCCGCAACCGCGGGTTCACCTTCAACTCCATCACTACCATCACTTCTTGGCACAGGAGGTGTGCCGACGTTCGCCATGGCTCTACACGCGTAACCCTGGAGCTTGGTGCTCCGCTACCACTGTGGATAGCATGGCAGAGCGGTCATTTTTGCCGCAGAACACAGGGTCCTCTTGCCCAGCTTGATGTGGAACGCGAACGGTACACTTCTCGATTGAGACGTGTTTTGGTCAAAGGAGTCCGATGCCTGATTCACAATATGATATAATTATATGTGTGTATCTATTGTCCCTCAAGTGAGAACCAGTAAGATCTCAGGTGTTGGTGCGACCTCAGGAACAATATGATGGATCCGATCCAGCACCTCTTTAAGAGCCATGTTTCAAAGTCGTGTTTTATGGTATTTTTGATGATGTTGATGTGATTGTCAGCTCACGTTCTTTCTGTAATGTTGATTTAAGTTGGACTTCGACTTTTTGTCAATGGTGACTGGGCCCTATGTACAGGGTGCATACATGTGCATACCCAATACACATCCAGTAGGAGCGGAAACTGAACACCTTGAAGAACCCCAAAACCATTTGGATGTCGCAGCCACAAAAGTAATCCTTTCGAGTAGATGCCCGTTTGCTCCGAGGACATCAGTGTGACGGTCCCGCCGGTGGGCGTTTTCATCGGACGGGAGGCACAATTGGCCAATTGTGAGTTCGGGAAATGGGGCGGGACAGGGGCGAATGATCCTTTGTAGCACACAGATAGACAGAATTGGGAATCTCTCTCTCTCTAACATGAAATCTGAAACATATATTATTGTCATGTGTGCAATTTTTTATGAGATCATGCACCAGCAATCACAAAGGTGTGCTTAATGGAGGTTAGGGGTGCCCACATACTATCCTCTCACTTGGGAACAAAACACCACACTCCTGGTATATAATTATATAATTAGATAGCACCGGCACTGTGCGAATGCTGTGGGAAACTTGTGACAGGGAGTGGGCGAAAAATACGAGACCTGGAGCGGCACCTGAGATATCCCCAGTTCTGGCAATAGGAACGCGCGAGGTCGGGGTGGTTAAGCTGAGAGGTCTTCTCACTGTAGGACGCAGCTTTTGAGGGTCGATGGAGACAGTTGATGTTCCCTTCTTCATGTGGAAAGCATTCCCTATAGGCCACAGTGAAGCGGCTCGAGACGACTGTGACTACCCCTTTGTGTCCCAACATCCAGCAGCCGATTCCATTTCGGAGCTAGCGTTGACACGAAGGACCCAGATCGTTCGTCGTGGTCTTGGTTTCAATCCATATCCAGCGCGGGGGGTCCATCTACTCGAGACCGGGAGACCGTTCGAGCTCTCAGTATGTGAGACCGACCCTACCGCTCGAGACCGGCGGGCGGCCCGACAGTGCAGCTAGGGGGGAAATGGGCTTTGCATCCGAGATCCCCAGATCTCGTCCTTCCACTGCGAGGCGCGGCGCGCGTGCACGGAGAGTCCGCGGTGTGGGGCGGTTTCGCTGGCACGTGTGCACACACCATGTCGATGGTGCGGTTGAGGTGTGCGGTGCGGTGTGACACTAACATCTTGTCACTATGTCACACTTGTTGAGGCACTACATGTGTTGAAAAGTGGAGTAGCAGCATTGCAGCATTCCATTCTACAGGTGACGGTCACCTCACCCCATCAGAGTGATGTTGTTCCCCAAACTTCAAACAGTGGCCAAGATCCTGTACAGTCGGGTGGTAGTTCGGAGATGTATGGTTCTACAAGCACACCAGGGGCTTCTTGTTCCCTGCCTTGTGTTTCTCAACAAGGGGTTGTTCCTTGGTTGTTGCGTAATACTGTAAGACAATTGGTTGTGAGATGTTGTGAGGAAAGCGATGGAAAGAGCTTTCGTCGACCCACGCACTTAGATGCGGAGTTCTACCTACTTGAATTGATATAACTCATCCACATCGATGTAGATCTGTAGATCTATCTCGACCAACCCAGGAATTCCACAAATTTCAGGGGATTCCTCCGGAGTTTTGGCCCACGGGCTGCAGGTCCGACCCTCAAGAGAAGGCTTCCTGCTGGATGATAAGCCGCACAGCCCTCCAGGGAGCACGGGGGGTGGGAGATGGTTTGAGGACGGATGCATGATTTCAGAAGGTTCAAACCTAGTAGGACTCCACGACGTGAGGAGAACTTATAGAGTAGGATCGAAGTTTGTGCATGGGCCTCATCCCACCGTGCTGTCCTTTGGATGTTTTGGGTTCTTTCCGGTTCAAGTATCGAAGGACAGTGGAAGTTTGATTGTTTATGGCCTACACTCTCCGAAACAATCATGAAACTGGATGGCATGGCCCCTTGTATGGCCATATTCCTCTGCAAACAGGTGGCCTTCCACTTCCATGATTGTTTCAGGGAGTGTAAGGCTGACTTGCCATTTGTCATCTGGACTGTCCATACAGCATCCTCGAGTCCATGTTGGATAGCTCCACACTCGTGGGCTGCTTTCCGCGCACCAAAAGAGAAAGAATGAACCTCGAAGAGCCACATATGGGAATGGGTCAAGACTTGGATTTCCCAAGACCTTGTGGCGACCTTCCAGGTATCCATTTGTATAGCGGAATTCTATCCCACATCCTTGACACCCAACCTGTGTACCTGAAGCGCCATGGGATGCGGTCAGACATGATGCGCAAGATTCGTCCGTAGGTCAAGCAAGGTATCCTGGTGTTGATCCAAACACACACATGCGAAAGACCAGCAGGCCGCGTGGGGGATCCTGTGCAAAACTTGTATATTCGGCTACCAGGGGTCCTTTAGTCTTGAATCTGTGGTTGTCCGATCTTCAACATGTCAGAACATGTCAGAACTCCTACATAATCCTACATATAAAATATATGCAGGAACTGTAGTTGTCAAATTGTTGGACATGAAATAAATGACTAGTATGTGGTTCGGTTTCATGCTCAGTCCTTTCAAGCAATCTCAAGAAAAAGCCAGGCACTCGGTACTTGACGCCTCCCAGGTACTCGACCAATCGCACTTGGCTACGCCTGGCGCCGGATGGTGCGCCAGGGCGATACGCGAAGCATACCTTTTTGTCATATCAAGTCGTCACACCTGACATGTCCACGGTAAGTATTGATACCGCAAGCATTTTATATAACTGTAGTTCTGGTCACCACATGGTCAGGCACCAAATGGTCAGATTAAATACCTACGCAGTCTTCCATTTGTTTCAGAACCGCAGCGACGGTTCGGCAGCGCGGCAGCTCGGTGCCGAGGTCAGCCGTCCAAGCGCTACTTGCTGCGAATCGGCGACCTGTTCAAGGTGGGCTCCACCCTCTTCCACGCGCCGTGTCTGACAGATCACCACCTCACCTTTGGGGGAGTGACATCTGGAGGTGTTTCGGGAAGGATGAAACCGGAGCTTTCAGGACTCCATGTTGTTTTTCTTGTTGACTGCAGGGATGAAGAGTTGAGGATGATTCTGCCGGTCGGTTTGGTACTGCCTTTGGAAGCGGCTTCCGGTCCGGTTATATAAGCCTAGTTGCGCTGCTGCAGCTGTTTTCCGAGGGGGCGAGCTCTTCTTCCGTCCAAAGTTGGTCTCTTGAACTCTTTGAGGTCATGACCAACCGTATTTTCTCCAGTTGTTTCATCCCAAAGATACCCTCAACATGGAGACTGAGCCTAGGTGCCTGCGTTTCTTTTCACCGCAAGCGTTTCTTTTCACTTGTTCTGGGAGTTCATAATGAGTTGGTGAGGACGCTCCTTGAAACATGGCAACAACATTGCTGACAGACTAAACCAGAGTCTGTACTTTTATTGCTGATTTTATTTACTTGCTTGTGCTAGCTTGCCCTATGCGTTCCCATCCTGAAGTGATCCCCAAATCCGTTGGACAAACATCCATGCACAGAACATGTTGCAGTACCCCCAGGGTTCTTTGGCCAGCTGAGGTGGTCGAGCCAGCCTCTGCAGTGTTTTGGCTTAAAGGTATGGTGGTCCGGAGAAGTTGATCGAGAATGGGATGCCTTGGGTACTACCGTAGATGGCCCTCTATATATGGCTGGTTGATTGATAGGGGGATACCCCGAAGCGTGCAACCAATAGGTATATATATACCAAACTGATCGGATCCCTTCAAAAAATGCCCAGATTCTCAGAAGGACATTAGGTATTGGTTTTCCAGTTCATGTCATCCTCACCTGGTAGAGGAAGTAGGCTGTTTGAACAGCAATCCTCCAGTTGCAAACTGCTTGGAGCTCGGTATCATCCAGTCAGCATCAGGGTACATCGGGGTTGAGTGCCAACAGTAGAGCGAGAGGCATTTCGGGTCACCAGTGGGAAGTAGATGGAAGTAGTATAGCTTGCAAGCAGACAGGAGAGTGGAAATTTGGGAGAGCTTTCTGCAGGACGTGTCACCATATTCCATGACGCAACCGTGGCTTTGCAAGACAGATTCTATATATAAATTCCACATCCGCACTGACTGTAAGTGATTGCTTTGGAATTGGTCCACGTAGGTCGACGTACTATGTTATTCCAAGTCGATGGACCGATTTTAGAGATAATGCCGAATAGACCTTCCTGGTTTCGGCCTTAAAAAGCAGCTTTTACGTGACAAAAAGGTGGGACACCCTCTTCTTTTCATCCAGGATGCCACCCTCCGACTCCCAGGAGCCTGAGGAGGACGGCGTCGCGCTGGGCGTCGAGGAGCACCGCTTGGAGCACACGCACTTCCCAGCCTCGCCGCGCTCGGACTCGGAGCTCAGCCGCTCTGAGCGGAGGAGGGGGACAGCGGAGGTGGACGAAACACTGGGGATGGAGGAACTGGGGAAGAGCATGGCGATTCCCAAGGAGGTGGCCCCAAACAAAACAGGGCCATTGGTCTTTGGGGAGGAGGACAGAACTGGGTGACCGCAGAGGTGTGCAGCCAAAAGCCGAACCACGCTGGTGAATCTAAGCAGTAGCTGAGCACACATTGCTCTGAAATAGCTCCGGGCGAGCGGTGCAGGCTTCAAAAGCATTGCAAAGCATGGCTTCTTCATGAATGGTTCTGGTGAGATGCGAAGGTCCTTGGTCAATTGTGATGATGGCCAGTAGCTTAGCATTTGGACCGGCGTTTCTTTGATTAGTTATCATGGTCTTATGAACCAGTGGCCGTTGCCAGTGGCCACAGCTTTGCAGATGTCGGCATTGGGAGGTTCAACGCCTCCTTGATGTTTGCTTTCTAGTTCTTCTTGTGGTTGGAGCGCGTGTGATTTGGCGCCCTCGGCGCAATGACTGGGCGACCAAGGGTTTCAGGCATGGGTGCAGCTACCCTTGCAAGGACATTTGGTGGAATTGCTTATCATCAGGATCATCAGGTTCCTCATGTAACCCGGTTTGTAACTGGTAGTCATGCTTAATGGTCATGGTCCATGGTTCATGGTTTATCCCTTTCCCTCTTTGTTAGTGCTTCAAGGGCGGCCGGAGAAAGCAACAGCCCAGGTGATCCTGATGCGCCGGAACTGCACGTCGCACACGCGGCCGCGCCGGAACTGCTCGCGCCCGGCTTAGCAGCCTGGTTGCACGTCGGGAGGTGGAACGTGACCTGATGGTACCAGTGGATCAGAGTGGATCCGAGCTTGACCATTTGGACCCTGCAGTTGTCCTCCAACTATAGCTTAGACTTGGACCAAGAATCGTCCAAGTCATGTGCGTCATGTTCACGTAGAATCCAAGACAATGTCCTGGACCCCAGAGGGCCGGAAGGACGGGCTTGGACACCCGGAATCCGTGGTGCTGGCTATTTGGTTACCCTAAGAATCCGGGCCCCAAGCAACACATAGGGTTTGGGAACCGGGTCCGGACCCCTGCGTGCGACGAGGTCGGATTCGATGGAGTTTGCCTCGTCGGTGGGTCCACTTGCCTCGTCGCCGTCCCTAGGCGTCGCACTTGCGATGGGAGCCTTTTCTGGACACCGATGCCAGGCACCGTCCGACCCGCGCGCCCGGTGGGCCTCCCGGGCGCACGGTGGTTTGAAGCCGATCCTGCGCGAAGCAGGATGATCCAAGGATGATCAAGGATAACTATTCCAATCTATCCCCAGACACGACCCATGGGACTGCCATATGCCGATCAGAGTGCCGATCAGGCCAGGGGTGGTTTTGGGGGTGAATTGATCGGCATATATGGCATACAATATGGCATACATGGATTGTTTGGGATTGCTCTATACAACATCCCCCCTCCTTGAAAATGGAGGATCGAGGGGGGGGTACCTTTAGGAATTCCATTTTAATATTCCATTTACACAGCCAACATGTTTCCAGTTTTATCTCCGCGTGGCCCCGAGAAATTTTGACAAGCGACGCGGTTGAATGGGAAAGAGGCTTCAGCAAGCTCACTGAATACAAGTCTGAGCATGGAGATGCCAGGGTGCCCACCAGATTCAAGACTTTTGATGGCTTTCCGCTTGGGCAGTAGATTAAGACACAGGGAAAGAAAAAAAAGTGCCAAGATCGTGTGAACCGCCTGAATTCACTTGACCATGCTGGCATGATTGAATATGATGGTCTTGCTTTGAACGTAGCCAAAAATCAAAAAAACAAGGAGCATCGCTTACGCCCCGGGGGCGTAAGCAACGCGACCTTTTGGACGGCAACACGGTCCCACTGCTCGGAGCTCCCTGAGGGTCCGCATCGCTTACGCCCCGCGGGCGTAAGCAACGCGTCCATGCAGTGTATTAGGCAACGCGTCCACGCAATGTAAATCAAGGTCTGTTTCTTTGATGTAACGCTCGATGTAACAAGATATACAACCCAACGCTCGCTTGTTTTGCACTTCCAAATACCAGATACCTGGACCCCTATCCAATGCTTTTTTGTTCTCGACCAGAAACAGGACGCAGCCCGAAAGAGACCAAAAAGATGACGCCAAAAGATCAAAAACACAACCCAAGCGATGCAAAATATGATGCAGAAAGTGCAAAACAGGTTGGGTAAGTGCAGGCTGGTGCTATGGACGACACTGAATATCACTGGATCTAGACCGTTGCTAATGCATCATCAGGGTCAAAAATGTATAATCCATTTTCTGTTGGGGGTCCGACCCCCCCACCCCCTGGGGTAGCAGGGATTATACAACCGCTTATTCGTATACGTAAGGAAAGTTGTCTTCCAACAGGCCCTTTCTTTGTTCCATTATTGTTCACTTCCATGTTGGTAAGTTCCTCTAATCATCATAGAGGTTAAGGGGCCCTACCTTCGTTTTGGTCTGGTGGGACTGGGGTGGGTGCCAGGAGGGTCCAGCCATACCAAACCTGAGGAGGTACGACTGGAGCCCTAGGCCCTAGGGAAAGGAGATGCAAGTGAGGTTGCCGCCTTCTGGCTCACCCATGCGTGACTACTGCGAAAACGCCTGGTCAAAGGATGGCAAAGGAACACAGTGCTGAAGCCGAGTGGCAAACCTCAGCTTCAGGGTCACGTACTTACCGCATTTGGTCTAAGACATTCATCCGTTCTCTTTTTGGAACACAACAGATGCATCCCATGTGCTTTTTCTTATTGGTCTAGACATGGTTTGCGACATGCAACCGGTCTGTTGGTCCATCCAGGACCCGACTTCAAGTACTGAACATGGAACATGACCCGAACCAAAAAATAGGTATACGACTGTACCGAACCCGAGGTACGAACTGCCTCCATCCATCCCTTCTCTCGAGGCCCATGCTGCCGCCCGACGAGTATGCACGAAGGCTGACCGAGGCAAGACGGATCATGGTGGAAGGCGCGCGCGCTGGGCGGCGACCGTGGACCCGGCGTGCTTGGGGGGGGAGGTCCCAACGGAAAGAGAGCCGTTTCAGCTCACTTTGGGCAAGTGTGATGCTTATATTATGTTTATATATATATATATGTGATGTACTCGGTGTTTACTTTTTGGCCAGAGTCTTGGAGGACTCAAGATCTAGCAAAACTCAGCACTTGGCATCCGTGGAGCAGAATTTTTGTGAGATTGGATCCACCAAGCTCAGGTCGGTCTGACACGCGGCAAGCAGTGGTGTCTCTCATCGTAGCTCACCCATGTCCTTTCGGGCGTCACCCAGTGGCGCAGTTCTTACAAAATTGCAAGAGGAATGTATCAATGTGAACGTGCGAACTTGAACAAGACCCAGACACTCCATTTATGGAATATATGCCTACGTTGACCCCCCAAACCACCTCTATGTAGGCATATATGGCATACATGGAGCGTTTTGGACATGGGAATACATATCACCAGTTTCTGAACTTGATCGCTTCATAAAATTGACATGGAACATCGCCCAGGCCCATCAATAACAGTCGGTACAGGCATATCACTAATTAACTCATGATCCACTGTGGCACCATGGGACGAACCCCAAAATATATCTTATATCCTTCCTGTCTCGGGGTGTCCTGGACGAGATCTCTCAATGTGTGGGCGAAACCAGCCAGGTGACCCGTTTCCGGAGGGTGCTGATCGTTGCGTTTGTAAAACTATACTTCGAAGGATTTTTGGGATTTCGGTTCGGGGCGCCCGCGGCCAGCGGGCCCGTGGTGGCTTCAGCGGTCAGGCTCGGCACGAAGGGCTGCGGGCACGGCCAACGAGCTGCATGGGAGCCAGGAGTGGTGTCGTGCTTTTTTCGGTGTGCTTTTTCACCTTTTGGGTTGCATTCTTGAGGTGGATAGGTGGACTGACGGACCGGCCCGGACTTCTTGATGGTGCACCGCAGAAAAAAGGTACAAAGATCACTGCGACTGAGAAAAGGGAATGGGATCAATTGCGAAGCCCCGAAAGAAAGGAATTGTTCCGCCATTCAACTCAGAAAACGCGCCAACGCACGTCACGTGGAATTGCATACAATATTTTATACTATTTTCCATTATTTTCCTTATACGAAGGAAAGGGGCGAACTCCACCAGTAAGTGTGGTCGGCGTCGGGTAAACCATGGTAAACCAATGTAAACCATGAAGTCATCCCTTAAGCCTTTTGAGATGCTTTAAGCCTCAAACCTTGAGATGCAATTTATTGGACTCCAACATCATCAGAGGGAGTGGATTTTCTATGGAAAGACCAGAAAACAACCCCATGTTCACAAATGCCTGCGAGGTGTTAAGACCAACTTTGTCCCGCTCCGCAGGGTGACCCGCTCCACCACCCGCTCCATGTCTCCAGTCCTTTGGAGCGGTCGGTTTGAGTGTGGTTTGGTGCTGTTGCATGTCTCCAGTCCCATGGAATTGGTTCTTTCACCGTGCCCAACGTCGTGCCAGGATGCGCGAATCTTTGAGGAACGCGAGTTGTCCTCGCTGCAGCAGCGCATGCGGAAGCTTGGGATTCGGCCGAACGGTGGAATTCCCAGTCCAAGAGAGGTGGACCGGCGTTATCCTTTGGACCGGATTTCATGCCATTTCCCAGATTTAGGGATATGTATGGGTGGGTTGAGATTGATTTTTGGGGTGCACACCCAAGTGTAGGAGACTCGAGTCTAGAATATTGTATACTAAAGGATTATATATACAGTATTACAATTATAGTGTATTTCTTGCACTTTCTTAAGGCAATATAGATTGGACAATAAACAACTTTGAGAGGAACCATGTCGTTTTTGAGTCTCACTCTGAGCGCTAAGAGTTGGATCTTCAGCTTCCAGTCGGTGGGGTTCACTGAACCAACCTGCGGCGTGGCATGTTGATGCCATTTGCGGAATGCGTCCGACGGTCGCGAGGCGTGTGGATTCTTTTGAAACGCACCAGTGGCCAAACCCAGGAATTCCCGAGCCCAAACCGCCTACACCTTGCAGCAGAAGCGAGGCCGGAGCTGAGGGGCTTGGACGGTGGATGCATCAAGCAACAAAGATGTCCTGTATATGCTACATGGATATATGTGATACCTATATGATAAAACCAAATCTATGTTTATTTGCCTAAGAGAGGAAGGAAGAGGAAGGGAAGGAAAGGGATTGAAGGGAAGGAAATTGAAGGAAGGAAGGAACGTTAGAATACAAACAACATATATATATATATATATCGAGACAAATAACATAAGGATAATTAGGACAAGAAAGACATACATACAAAAAAAAGACACGTTAAGTACACTGATGGAGACGGGCCAAGTGGAACCTCTCAATTGCGACAGTGACGGGTGTGTATGTTTCGGCCTGTTGGCTGGGTGCAGGTGAACGTCGGGATGAGGACCTCTGCAAGATTTGCTATGACAATGCGACTTGGCGCCATGAAGAGGATCAATGCAACACGAACGGGAGGATGCAATCAGCAACACGTCGGTGGATTGCCCGCCAAGCGAACCGTGTCTTAGAACCCACGTGGGGGTTGCAGATGTTTTGGGAGTTCGCGGACGACTTCTTGGCTATTGCCCAACGGTTCCTGCTAACCCTATTTTGCCTTCGCGAACTGTGCGCTAAGGGGTGTGGGGTTCGCAGAAGTAGCAAAGACCAGTCAGTCTGGGCCCAAGGGGTTTGGCCCCTGAATGACCAGATGCAGGGTCCTCAGACCGCTGGTTTGGGGATCCGCGCGACGACCAGACGTCCGGTGCTGACGGTCGCTTCGATCCCTTGTGCAATCCTCATGAGTGCTGAACATGTACTCGGGGAACATGTGTCAATTCTCCCAAAGTGTCAGATCATAGTCAAGGTCGCAAGGTCTAGTTTTGGTTCCATGGAGCGATCGATGGCTAGATGGTGTCAACGGAGGGAGGGCTCAAGACCCATGAAAAAAGGGGAGCGGTCCGGTGCCGTACGGGCGGTTGATCATCACGGGTATGGACTTATAGTATTGACCCGCTTGAGTGTGAATGGTCCCTAAGTAGAACCATGCTTTGAGCTTGAAGTGGAATCTGCAGCCTCTCAAGGCCTGTTACTGTTTAAGGTCCATGCCTTTGTCCTTTCGGGAAAGAACCCGCAAGCAAGGCCAGGAACCGCAAGACCTATAGCAGACTCAGGTCGAACCAGTCCTCATCGATCCATGATTCCGGTGTGCCGAGGACATTGATGTGGTGCTCTACCCCTGTGGTCACTTCATGCTTTGCCGCTGGTGCGCCCAGATGGTGTCGGATTGCCCGGTGTGCCGCTTGGTGATCACCGACGTGATCCGGACCTACAAGGCACGGAGGACGGCTGATGACGGCCATAGGGCTCCTGGCCCACCTCCGTTTCGAAGATGGGACAGGGTGGGTGCCAGGGGGGGTCGAATACCACCGAACCTGAGGAGATGGGACAGGAGCCCTAGGGTATACATAGGGCGAGGTGCATTGGAAGAGTTGCAGTCGACCAACAGGGCCAAAGTTCAGTCCAAAGTCAGTCCTTTGGATATTTTTGGGGCAACCTTGTGTTCATTGGTTCCTGCTAGGGGGGGTTTGTTTCCAGGAGTCTCCTGTATAATTAGGGGACATCGCATCATCACAGACACATGATCACTCACTCAATCTCCACGAGGACTTCACGAGGCGGACGAAGATCGCTCCCTTCTTCGTCCAGTTCCGTCCGGCCACAGCGATACAGAGGTCCCCGGTGCCTCCACCTCCACGTTTAGCCCCCCCACTTTAATGCATCAAAAACGGCATGTCCGTAGAAGTTCCATTAGGCTCCACCCCCTAACTATAGGAGGCGTTTGGTTTCAATTGCCTCTCTTCGTGTCCCGGCTCTCGCCAGGCGTAACGCGCCGTTCGCGAGTGCTGGGCCGTGCCACAGCGGAAAAAGGGGGCGCCGTCGTGGGACCGTGGGTCGACCGATGGGACTGAGGTGTTTTCGCCGAACCTCCGGCTCATGCCATCTCCAGTCCCATGGAGCGTTTGGGTTAGTAAGGAGGACCTCCCCTAAGGGTCCAAGTGCCTTCTAAGAAGGTGGGACTGAGGTGGGTGCCAGGAGGGTCCAAATACCTTCTGAGGAGGTACGACTGGAGCCCTACTCCTCAGAACACTCGGCGCAGTGGAGAAACTCAGTGTCCCGTGGCACGCAGTCGCTGTGACACGCGTCCCGTGGCTGTCAACTCACTCGATCGGGGGTAGGGCGCGATCGCCGCGCGGGGAGGGGGGCGGATCACGGAGGTTGAAGTGATGGCTTTCGGTTTTGGGGACAAAGCCTGTAGTGACGAGAGGCTATGACCTCAATTTGGGCTGTGAGCGGGAAAAGAGAAGGTTTCCTGGACAAAGCTAAAAGGCTTAAATAGGCTTATATAATATATATTATAAACATGTTTCAGGTCTGGCAGGCTTGGGTGAACATGTATTCATTACTGCCATAGGTTTGAACCAACGAATGTTTTGGCTCAAGTGACTTGGCCAAAATAGCGTTTGTTCTCTCTTTTTGAGGGCGGAACCCTTGGAGAGACAGTTCTTTTTTTGTGCAGGGAGGGACCCTGTTTTCCCATGAGCGAGTTGGGAACAAGCCTTGCTGCCTACACCAGGTACCAGGTGATCCATGCCGCCGCGTGGATGGAGTTCAGCGCTCACCTTCAGGAGCTGGTTGCTGAGGGGCGCGAGCGGGAAGCTTTGCGCCTCTGGGCCTCCGTGGTGGAGTTGGTGCATCTGGGGTCTCCAGGGCAACCCCTCTCCATCGCTGGGTTCCCCCCGGTTCGTCGGTTCGTATGTACCACCATTCCGTGTGCAAGGTGCACCGACCGTCGGGGCGGCTTCCAGTTCCCATGGGTGGGCGTGTGGAACCGCCGCTGCTTGCTGGTTCAAGAGGGACTTGGGCCAGCGGTCGCGTGGCAGCGTTACCATGCCTCTGCGGCGCGCTTGGACCGCTTGGCGCTGCAGTGGATTGCCTTTGACCTGGGCCCGTTGGACATCTTGCCGGTCCACGTTGGTTTGGCCGTGGAGCGGCTGGACGACGGGGACGATGGCATCGACACCGAGGAGTTCTTCGAGCTGGTTCGGCTTTGGCAGCAGGGGAGGCGGCCATGGCGGGAACCATGGTCGTCCCTGGTTGGGACCCCAGGTATTCCCCGGGAAGTCGCGAATGCAGGCCGATCCATCCGTGCGATCCTGGGGGCCGTGGCCTATGACGTTGAGTACATCCCCCCCCTCTGCCTCCTTTGTCGCCTGCCCACGTTCGAGTCCTGTCGAGTCTGTCGATCGATCGTTTGTGAGAGCTGCAACTTCTGGTCACGGCAGTGCCCGTTGTGCATCGACAGTTCTGGCTCAGACTAGTGCGATAGTCCTTGCAGGGCTCATGGCTGACAGGGGGCGCTATGCGGTCGAGTCAGCGGGGAGCTCCAGGTGGGACCCGGAGACCTCGTCTGAAGTGGCCCAAGCCGCCCGTGTTCGCGAGTTCAGGGAGCAATACCACCTCTTGGACGACGCGGACTTCGCCTTTGCCTTTCGGTCAGCGGAAGAGGCCTTGTTGGCCGGGGGCCGGGGATTGGCCGATGCTTGGACCAAGGCCCGCTCCGAGCAGACTGAGGAGCTGATGCCGTTGGCGGCCTCTACAGTGGAAGCCGGCTCGAGTCGCGACAGGCCGGCACATGCTCTTCACCTACCCGCTCCTCCAGTGCCTGTTCGGAAGGGAGTGACCCTTTCTCAACAAGCTTTCAGTGCTGACAGTGTGAACAGGCGAGTGGAAGCGCTGGCCAAGGTGTTTGAGGACGCCGGGATTCATCGCCCTTCCGTGGGGAACCTCTCAGATGCGATCCTAGCTGAGTGGAAACTGCAACTCACTCGCTTGGCGCAGGTCAAAGTGACCAAATCGGAACCTCAGACAGTGGTGAACGCTGTGCGCACGTGGTCGGAATTGGTCAGCTTTATGCGTTCTCGAGATAGGACTACGATAGAGCATTTGGATTTGGCGTCATTCCTGGCCTCCGGCTCCAAAGGACCTAAGCGGGCATTGAACTCGCTTCGCTGGTTGAATAAACTGGGGCATTTGGGGTGGCAGTTGGATGCGATCGTGCTGGATCCACCTGCCTCCCGGCGGGCAGCTGCGCGATCCCAGGCTCTCGTTGTCGAGCCGCCCATGCTCACCCACTTGGAGCGTGGCATCAAGGAAGCCTTCACCCGACAGGACCCTCGCTGGACTGCGATGCTGGGAAGTTGGATCGTTGGCGTAGGGGTACTACGCTACCGGCATGTCCAACGTGCTCAGATGGTGCGACTGTCCCGCTCAACGATGTACTGCCATTGCCCCAAAGGGAAACAGGCGAGCAAACGTGATGGCTTCGACTTCTCCATCCCTTCGCAGTTCACAGATGGCTGGCCCTGGGCAGAGCATGTGGTGGCCCTTCGGAACCAGTTGCCCGAGGCCCAACGAGATGAAGGCGGCCTCTGCTTCAATCGGGAAGGCCGCGCGTGGGACATCTCTGAGGTGCAAGCCGCAGGTCGTGAGCTGTTCCAAGACCTTGTGACCGACGTGGCTGACCTCTCCACCTACTCGTGGCGCCGGCTCATGCCCACCGTGGCGTTGCTGGCCAAGTACACCCCGGTTGAGATGGTGGCCTTGGGGGATTGGCAATCCAAGAGTGAGCTACCTCAGGAGGCCGCCATGCCGACACACTACGCAGGCAGCCGTGATCTCGTTAGCATGAGGCTCAAACATCTGTCGCTGGGACTTGTCGCCAGGTTGGGCGAATTTGATGCCTGGGAACTGGCAACTCCAGCCGCCATCACTGCCGCAGTGGACGCGGCCAAGCCCGAGGTGCAGCGGGCGGTGAGCCTCGACAAGCACAGCTTGTGGGACAAGCCGATGTCGGTGGCAGCAGCGCAGCGCGCGTTCGCTTTTTCGCGAGAGCGTGCAGCGCTCACAAGAGCGGCACAAGCTAGTTCCAAGCGCTCCGAAGCTGTGATGCCCCCCTCCATCAATGGCAAGGTGGTCACCCGTTTCCTGAGGAACGGCAAGGCGCTATGCCCCAACTTTCAGTTGGACGCCTGCCACGTGGGCGAGGGGACCTGTGGTGAAGCCCACCTTTGTGCCATCGTGCTGAAGACTGGCCGTGCCTGCGGAGGGAAGCATCCAGCTCAGGCTTGCTTGGCAAAGCGCTATGTGGTGGCCGAGGATGTCGAGCACACCCCGCTGGCGAACGTCGCAGTGCCCAGCACCGCAGAGCCAGTCGCTCTCCCCGTGGCCGACGCCCCTGAGGCTCCACATCGAGCATCATCGCCAGAGAGCACCTCCAGTGAAGATGAGTCCTCAGCAGGCCCTCGCTCCCCGAGTGCGTCCCCGAGTCCAGTCCCGGCTCCCAAGACCAAGAAGCTGCGCACCGTGCCACCCCCGGACACTGAGGCAGTACCCTCTCCAGCGCAGCCCGTGGCACCCAAGGCAATGCCGCCCTCGGTGGCAGCGACAGCTGCGGCGCCCAAAGCCTCGGAGGTCATTCCACCATGGCGAGCAGCAGCAGCCGAAGCAACGGAGGCTCCCAGCGACATCTTCGAGATGCCCGAGCCCCCGGCCGCGTTCACACCCAATGTGCACGACCAGCGGTGGGACCGCTTGGCCACCGTGCGGGGGAAGAGCGCGCAGGCGCCGACCAAAGTGCTGTCCGTCCAAAGTGGCGGCACGTTGTGGTTGGGTGGATTGCCTACGAACAGGTCAGCATCAGCCTTTCCATCCGTCACTCTTCAAGTGGCATGCATGCTTGAGGAGCCTTCGCAGCGGGGTGGCATTTGCTTGCAGGGAGCGACCCTCCGCAAGTTCGCTATCGCCCACCCTGATAGGCGAGACGAGCAATGGCGCGACCTGTTTCCGCTCCTGTGCAATACGTTGTGGGGAGGTGAGGATGTGCTCCTCCACTGCATTAGTGGCCGGCATCGCGCGGCGGGTACCGCGTGTATGATCCGAGCCATTCTGCTCCGGGAGCGCTTTGAAGCAGCTTGGGACTACTTGGCAAGTGTGAGGGATGTCGACATCCAAGGCTTGCTGAGAGACAGGGCCTTGGCTGGTTGGATCCATGAGACCCTTCGCACATCTAGTCTGGGCAATGCCTGGCCCCGGCCAACCGGATACATCGCGACCGCCCGCAGTCAGCTGCACATCCAGGGCTATGAGGACACTCCCCTCTGCTCACATCGCCAGAGCGGCCAGAAGAGCAAAGGGCGTTTGGCAAACCCGTCGAAGTGTACCTCGAAGATGGAGGCGATTGCCTGGGGCAGGCCAACATGCCAAGTTTGTGCCAATAGAGCACCAGCCTCCTGGATCCCTTGAGGAGGCTGTGGCACCTGTTTTCATCTTGTCGCACAGCGACACATAAGAGCAGCTAGCCCCCTTTTGGCGATGGAGTGATCCGTTGCCCGTGGCGAGCTTGACCAAGACAGCGTGAAAACAGAGCGCAGTCGCCTGACAGGGGCATTCGGCGAGGGGGGAGTTTCGCCTAGGCGGTTAGGATCGAGGTGCACAACGAGGGCCGTTTATACTTAGCGAACTTATAAGTAGATATCAGACTTACAAGAAGTTAGATGGAAGTTATGAAAACATATCTTACTTAGTAAAATCTGAGCAACCGTAAGTTTTTGTAAGTGTTTGTAACTTCAAATAACTTCATGCAAGTTTTCTCTTTAATTGAGTCGTCAGCAGAGAAGGAGAATGCTGTTGTCCAGCCGTTTGTGCCAGTGGCTAGGCTTTTGCCAAGCGCTGGAAAAATCCGCATCAGCAACCAGTTTCGTGTCGCCCTTTGGGCGCCACAAGGTCACGTTGTTGCAAGCCCAGCTCTCAACCTTGGCGGTGGGACAGAGAAACCATTCAACCGAAATCACTTCAAACACAGGTT